TCTAATAAATTATTAATATTACTCTTTTAAACGATAGCGATTTTATCTAAAATAGAATAATTATAAATATATAAATTATAATATTATAAATTCTTATAAAGTAGCTTATAATCTCTATATATTTAAATTAATCTTTAATCTTTTAAATATTAATTTAAAAATATTAATATAGAAATTAATACTTTTAAGAATTATAGCTATTTTATAATAAAGTATCTAATTAATATAATTATAATAGTTATATCTAGTAAAGTTAATATAAAAAACGCGATTAAAAGAAAGTTATATTATATTATAAATTAATCTTAAATATTATTTATAATATAGATTTAATTAAAGATCGATTTTTCGCTCTTTAAAGACGTTAGAATAGATATATAAATAGTAATTACTTTCTAAATTTTATATATATATAAAATAATTAAATAATTAATAATAATCTATTATAAGATTATAGAGATTATATTATTATACTAAACGCTATAGCGATAAAATTCTTTATAATTATTAATAAAATTTAAGATCTCTAATATTAAAGAATAAAGAATTTAATTAATAATATACTCGCTAAAATTAATCAAATTATTTATACTTATTTTAACGCTCTTTATAATTCTTATTCTATATTATTTACTTCTTAATTAATATCTATTTTAGATATATTAACTTTAATCTTTTCGCTATTATAATATTATTTAACTATCTTATCTTTTTATAATATTATATTATAGCTATTATAAATCTAATTTATAAAATTTAAATTATATTATATAGACTTTATAATATATAAATAACGCGCGATATAGCTAATAAGTCTTATTAAAGACTAAATAAAATTTAAATAAGAGTTAAAAGATAAGTTAAAAGAATATAAACTATCAAAAGAGTTATTATTAAAGAAATCTATTAATAAGATCTTATAATAGAGAGTCTTTAATAGCGTCTTTCTCTTATTTAAAAGCTTCTTCTTAATAATATTTAGAATCTAATACGCGTTAAGAGACTTTAAAATAGAATAATAAAGAATAAATAGAGAAGAAAAACGCGTTTTAAAAGATAGTATCGCTAAATTAAAAGATATTATCGCTAACTTAAAAGAAATCTATATAGAAGAGAATATATTCGTTTAAGCTCTTTTTAAGAGTTTTTTAACGCGTTTATAAGTAGTAATAGATAGCTATTAAACTCGCTTATAACCTCAATTATTAATAATAATAAATTTATTAAAAGATAATTTAAAAGTATTAATAGAGGCTCTAAGAGGTAAAAAAAAGAAATATATATATCTTAGATATTTAGTAATCTTTAGACGAGAGATATCTAAGAATAATTATATTTATATTAATAAAATTAATAGAATTAATAGAGAGATAGAAGAATAATAATTATATAAATAGATAAAAGATTATTATTTAATCTTAAACGCGTTTTATATATATTATATTTAAATACTACTTCGCTTTATTAATAGTAAATTAAACTTTATAATTTTTATAGCGTTAGAAAGCGTAAAGCGAGCTTTATAATTTAAGAAATTATAAAGTAATCTATATATATCATAAGCTAAGTACTTTAAAGTATAAAACTTCTATATATAAATTTTTAATAAGAAAGACGCTAAAGAACTATCGAGCTAACTTAGTCGATCTAATTAAAAAGCGTAGTCGAACTCTTAAAATTTATAATTAACTATATATATAAATTTAAGATTTTTAAGCTTAGCTCTATCTTATTCTTTTATATATATTAATAATAGAGATAATAAACTAAGTTATAATAGTATTCTTCGCTTACTAAATAATAATTTAATATAGAATCTTAAAAAGAATAAAACATGGGATTTTAAAAAAAAAATTTATTTTTTTAAAAAAAAAAAATTATTATCGCTTAATTTCTCCGTAATATTCTTCGCATTTATCTATTATAGTTTCTTCTCTTATTTCTTAATATAGTAGAAATAATAAATTAAGTTATAATAATATTCTTCGCTTATTAAGTAATTATTTAATATAGAATTATAAAGAGTATATAACGTAGAATTTTAAAGAGCTAAGTCGTATTCTTAGTACTAGAAGTTTTATTATTACTTAGTTTCTTCGTAATATTCTTTATATTTATCTATTATATTAACTTCTCTTATATTAATTAAATAAATTAATATAAAATCGTAGAGAGTAAGTTTATTATATTACTACTACTAATAACTATCTTCGTAATATTCTTCGTAATATTCTTTATATTCGTTTATTATAGATTCTTCTCTTATTTAACTAAGTACGAGAATATCGAGAATAAATATATTTATATTAATAGAATTAATAGAATTAATAGAATTAATAGAATTAATAAAATTAATAGAATAATAAAAGAAGAATAATTATATAAATAATTATTATTCGATTTCGAACGCGTTTAATATAACTATTATAACTATTATATTTAAATATTTATTTAACTAAACTTTATAATTTTTATAGCGTTAGAAAACGTAAAGCGAGCTCTATAATTTAAGGAATTATAAAATAACTATATATATCGTAAGCTAAGTACTTTAAAGTATAAAACTTCTATATATAAATTTTTAATAAGAGAGACGCGAGAGAGCTATCGGGCTAACTTAGTCGATCTAATTAAAAAGCGTATAGAACTCGAATTAATAATTAACTATATATATAAATTTAAGATTTTTAAGCTTAGCTCTATCTTATTCTATTATATATACTAATATAAAAGATTATTATTAGAGTATAAAATATCGCTAGTAAATAATACTTCTAAGTATTATAATATCTTTTAACTATTAAGAAATATTATTTATATATAATAGTCTTCGCGAGAAGATAAAGAATATTATAAGCTATTTAAGTAATTATTATTAGAATTAAATATAGATATAATATTAATATAGATATATTAAATAAGATAACTAAGATATCGAACTATATAGATAAAAGAAAGATATTAAATAATAGATAAATATCTCTATTAAGATACGCTAGACTCGAATAAGTTAAAGAGCTAAGTAATATATTAAGAATATAAAATACGCTTATAATATTATTTCTCTTCTTTATAAAATTATATCTTATAATTAGTAAGTAAAAAAATAGAAAAATAGATATATATATACGCTTAACGTCTAAAAAGATAATAAAAATAATAAAGAAATAATTATACTCGGGAATTCTAGTATTATACTTTTTTTAATAAGAGATATTAAGAATAATAATAGCTTATTATATTTACGCTATAGTAATATCGCTAACTAAGATATAAATATATATAAAAAATCTAGTCGAGAGAAAATTAATATAATATAGCGAAAATAATATTTATTAATATAGAAATAAATAGTAATAATTATTAAATCTATATCTAAGCGAATAAAATATTAATAGAATAATACGATATAATTAACAAGTAAAGGCCCATGAATTAAATTCATGAAGTTAAATTTTTCTAAGTCAAATCGAACTGTAATCGCTTACTGTGCGTTTTTGACCTACTTTCACTACTATAAAATTAATTTAATCTATATAATATATAGATATATATGTACGGAGAGAGGCGCGCTAAGGCCTAATTAGGAAGGTATATTAAGTGTAGAGGATTAATCCGTAATAATTGCCTATAAAAAACAGAGAAAGGCCATATCCTTATGGCAAGAAGTATCGAAATACCGGAAAGAAATGGAGACAACGTGCCAATTAGTGGTGTGAATCCCACAATATCTTCTGCCGCAGTGAAATTTTTCGAATAATGAAATAGCTGTAGACATCGGACGGTTTCAATTTGTCCAAATATGCATCGTCCGATGTTTCTCCTGCAGAGGCCGCAGTGATGTACTATATTAATACAGTGGGGATGATAGGCCAAGTTGCAGTGGTGTTCTCCGCTTGCTGAGTGATGATTTGATATGGAACCGTGGAGAGCATATGACGTGGGATCTTGGAGAGCTGAGCCGTGTTCTTGACGATGGTGGCCTTGTTACCGCTTGGTTTCTCCGCAGTGTTCTCCGCATTTGCCTGTTGTAGTTCCTTCTCTTGCTCCTCCTCTTGTAGAGTATTAGACTGAGTGGCTAGCTGAGTGGCTGACTGAGTGGATGACTGATATGACGTGGGATCTTGGAGAGCTGAGCCGTGTTCTTGACGATGGTGGCCTTGTTGCCGCTTGGTTTCTCCGCAGTGTTCTCCGCATTTGCCTGTTGTAGTTCCTCCTCTTACTCCTCAATGCAGTGGGGATGACAGGCCAAGTTACAGTGGTGTTCTCCGCTTGCTGAGTGATAATTTGATGTGGAACCGTGGAGAACATATGACGTGGGATCTTGGAGAGCTGAGCCGTGTTCTTGACGATGGTGGCCTTGTTGCCGCTTGGTTTCTCCGCAGTGTTCTCCGCATTTGCCTGTTGTAGTTCCTCCTCTTACTCCTCAATGCAGTGGGGATGACAGGCCAAGTTACAGTGGTGTTCTCCGCTTGCTGAGTGATAATTTGATGTGGAACCGTGGAGAACATATGACGTGGGATCTTGGAGAGCTGAGCCGTGTTCTTGACGATGGTGGCCTTGTTGCCGCTTGGTTTCTCCGCAGTGTTCTCCGCATTTGCCTGTTGTAGTTCCTCCTCTTACTCCTCAATGCAGTGGGGATGACAGGCCAAGTTATAGTGGTGTTCTCCGCTTGCTGAGTGATAATTTGATGTGGAACCGTGGAGAGCATATGACGTGGGATCTTGGAGAGCTGAGCCTGTTCTTGGTGCTGGGGGCCTTGTTGTCGCTTGGTTTCTCCGCAGTGTTCTCCGTATTCGCCTGCTGTAGTGACTTCTCTTGCACTGGCTGATTGGATTGGTGTGAGACCGTGGAGAGTAAGCCTGTTGTGTTACTGCTGCTGATGACTGTCTCCGTAATGTTCTCCGTAGTGTTCTCCGCATTCGCCTGTTGTAGATCCTCCTCTTGTTCAACTGAGTGACTGAACCGGACGCGTTTGGTGTGATTACAATATTTGAATGTCAGTTTAACCCACCTACCGCTGGCTTGAGAGGAGTATGTAGGGGAGGACGTATCCGTTCGGGCTCTTTTTGAGGGTCTTTCAACGCGTTTATGAGCAGTAGTAGGTAGCTGTTGGGCTCGCTTGCGGCCTCGATTGCCAGCAGTAGCGGATTCGCCGAGGGGTGGCCTGGGGGCGTCAGTAAGGGGCTCTAATTGGGCGAGGGGTACCGAAGACGATTGTGTTCATATTGGTGGAATTGGTAGAATTGGTAGAATTGGTAGAATTGATAGAATTGGTAGAATGGTGGAAGAATAACAAACAGGTGGAAGGATTATTATCCGATCCCGGACGCGTCTGGTGTGACTACCATGACTACCATATTTGAATGTCCATTTAATCCACCAATAGTAGGCCAAACTTCATTATTTTTACAGCGTTAGAAAGCGCACACAAAGCCCTATAATTTAAAAAAAAAAAAAAAAAAAAAACCCAAAGAGAGGGGGTTTTTAAAAAGGGGAAAAAATATAAAAAAAAATTTTTTAAAATTTTTTGGTTGGGGGGAAAAAAAATTTTTACCCGGGGGGTAAAAAAAAAAAAAAAAAAAAAAAAAAAAAAAAAAGGAGAAAAAAAAAAAAAAAAAAAAAATATTTTAACAAAACCCAATATTATATAAAAAAAAAAAAAAAAAAAAAAAAAAAAAAAAGGGGGCTATGAGTTGCGCTAACCGTACCTTAACTAAATTAGTAAGATTTACCGCCAAAAGGCGGTAGCTTTATAATGCAACCATGATTTCGAAAAGGATCAAATACGTCATATATTTTTAGTGGTGCTTTTTTTGAAACGATAGCAAATTGATTTCTCTTAATAATCGTATCAAATTTTAATACGTTAAATTAGGGGATCTAGTTTATTACGATAGTATTAAAAGAATAGTAGCATAACAGCATTAATGTAGAAACGTATTTACGCTTATACGTTAAATCTAAGAATCTAGTATACTACGATAGTATAAAAAAAATCAATAATATAATAGTATTACTACGAATATATAATTATAGCTTTACGCTTATAGTAATAGATTTAGTATATTATAATAGCTAGAAAATAAATAGAAATATAATAGTATTACTATAAATACGTAGTTATAATTATACGTTAGTAATAATATATCCGCTAATTACGATAGTATATAAGCGACTAAAGTATAATATTATAGAGAATCTAAGATAAGATAGAATTCTATACTAGTAGCTATCTAAAGATAAGATATCTTAATAAGATAAGGTAGATAAATATCTAAAGTACGTCGTTATAAAATAATTAGACTAATTACGATAGCGCTATCCCTTAAAGTTCGCAATCTCATTTATTACTACCGCCCTCTTGATTTAAAGTAATCTAGTAATATATAGCGCTCGCTAAAAGAAGAAAGTGCTATTATATAATATATCTTAAGATAAAATAAGATAAGATAGATATCGTAGTTGCGATAGTATCTATTATCGCTATTATCTTAAAGGCGAATTAAAGATATAAATTATTAATCGTTTATTTAAAGCCTATATTCTTATATTTATTTTAAAAGCAAAGTAGTATAAGGAGAGATAGGTTATTCTTAATCTTAATCTAAATCGCTATAGTGTAAAGTAGTTACGATAGTAATATCCCATTAATATATTTATCTCGAGTTAATGAAATTACCCTCTCTTAAGTAAAAATTATTATCGTCGTCGTTATCGTCGTCTTAAATAGCGTTCTAGAAGGCCTTTATAGTCTTATTTAAGCCCGCGTCGTTTATAATTAAAGTACTCTTCGACTATCACTAAGGTAGTTACGATAGTCTAAATATTACTATTATCGTTCTATATCGTCTCGGATAGTAATACTAATTTTAACGGACGAGATTCGTAGATATCGGCGTGTTTATAGCCTTATATAAGGATCGCGTTCATCTACGAGAGAGAGTACCCTTGACTATCGCTAAGATAGTTGCGATAGTCTAAATATTACTATTATCGTTCTATATTATCTCGATAGTATTACTAATTTCGACGGCGGGATTCGTAGGTATCGACGTGCCTATAACCCCTCTTCTTTCTCTCTCTTATTCTTCTTTATCTTAATAGTAGAAAGTATATCCTCGCGGCGAAGTTGCGGTAGCTAAGAGGTTCTTAAATACTTAAGACAATCTCGAGTAGACGTATTTATATTAACTTCTCCATCTTTATTAGTAATACTAGTATATATATTATATTAGCAAATATACGCCTTAATAGATAGTGCTTTCATCTATTATACTTATATTTCGAAACTCTTAAAGTTCTTAATATCGCGATAAAGCTTTAGATCTACGATAATCTTTAACTAAATTAAATCGCGAAGACGCTTCTCTACCCGATATATATAGGCTATAAGATCTATTATCTTACTTCTTAACTTCTTAACTATTATAATAAGATACTTCTTATAATCGATAATATACTTATTAAATTCTTTTCTACTTAGCGTAAGAATATCTTTAATATATACTATACTATATTAAGTAAGTAATATTTTATTAGATACGCTTAGACTCTATAACTTTATCTTATTAGTCGTCTTCTTATATATCTTCGCCTACTTCTAAAGTATAATAGCTTTCTTTCTTAGATTAAATATATGGCTTTAAAGAATATTACTATTAATTACGATAGCGTTAGCTCGAGATAAATATCTCTTCTATATTACGTTATATATTATTAATTAAAATCTTTAAATTATCTTTTAATCGAAGCCCTCTCTTATTAATAATAAGGATAGAAAAGATATAAATATTATTTTTAAGACTAATAGTAGCGGACTCTTTTTTTAAGAGTATATTATCTAGAGTAGCTATATTAATATAATCTCTAATAGATTAAGATTCTTAAAGAAACTCTATCTATAGATACGATATAGACTCTACTTTCTTAGTCTTATAATAAAGAGCGAACTTAGACTCTTCGATATCGTTATTTATAAATATTACTCGTTTATACTATAAGTCGCGCTAATTCTTTATTAAAATCAAGTATTCTATAATAATCTTCTACGTCGAGATCTTCTTCTCTTACGCTTTTATAGACTATATTTCTCGAAGTAATACGATAGAATTAGGGATATTAAAATTCTTACTACGACCCTCGCGATGAGTAGAGTTACTCTCGCTATTATTAGTAGTATTCTACTTTATCTTCTTCTTCGAAGTAATTACGATAGCGCTATCTAAAAGTAAAGAATATTTAATTATCTTAAGTAGCGAGAATATAGTAATAAGAGATAAGTAAGTTAAGAGGCTATAGGTTAAATCTAATATATAAAAATCATATTAAAAAGAAAGAAAGAAGTTAAAAGTAAGATAATTAAGAAAACTTAATAAAGTCTTAATAAGAGTAAATAAGCGAATAACGAAGTAAAGAGTTTATCGAATTACTACTATATACTTAGAAGCTTAATAAGCTTATATAATAAAGATAGATAGTAATATAAGTAAGATATGATAATATAAAGAAAGTCGCCTTAAGGGTATTAGCTAGAATTATATAAAGATATTATTTTAAGAGATATTAGCTAGAATAGTATAATTATAGAGACTTCGAGAATATTAAATAATATCGATTAAGTCTATTATTTATAGCTACGATAATTATTATAGAACTTTATATTATATATCTACTCTATAAGTATCTTCGATTAAAGACTTATTTATCTATAACATCTACTTCTTTAAAGACGATACTTTAAGAGAAGTAAAGCACTTCTTAAGAATTCGATCGCTTCTCTTAGTTAATATATAATGCTAATTACAATAGCGCTTCTTAATTTCCTTAAAATCGCTTTTATTTATCTCTTCGAAATTCGAGTATATAGAAATTTAATTATAGAATTTTAGTAGATAATCTCTAGTATTTAGCGTATTTATAGTAGTATCGTAGATATTAAAATAGAGCTTTATCTTAATAGTAAGATTTATATAGATTACTAGATAGTTAGAATATAGTAAGTAAAAGCTATTACAATAAAGAATTATTAATATCTTATATAGTATTAATCTAAATTAATACTACTCTTATATTATATATAGCCTTTTATATATCTTTATATAGCGAAGAAGTTATTAGAAGTAAAGATCTTTATAAAGAAGTTTATAAGAAGCGAATATATAGTATATAGTATTCTAGCGAGAGTATACTTAGAAGTATCTAGAATATTATTAATATAATCCTATTATCGTAAGCTATAGAGAGCGAGACTCTCGAAGTAAAGTATATACTCTTATATAATTTAGCGTCTTACTCTTAAACCTCTTAACGTAATTAAAGATTTTTAAACGAGTCTCTTAATTAGTCTTAGAATTAATATTAAACGCGTTATCGTAATATTCTCTAGCTACGCTCTCTCTTATAAAGTATTTATAAAATAAAGAAAGTAATTTTATCGTATAAGACGATCTAGCTTCCTTTATAGAAAACTCTTCTTATTTCTATTATCTTCTCGATCTTCGCTATTATCGAGTAACAGCCTTTTATACTTTCTAAGCTTTAAACTATATATAGTATCTATAAGCCTTTATTATAATATCTAGGCGACTAAGAATACTAAAGCGTTATTAATAGTATCAAGTAAATATATAGAATTAACTAAAGATATAGTATTAATTATTAAAGAGGAAGAGAAAGAAGTTATAGATTTAGTATTTATTATATTAGCGATTTTGATAGAAGAGAGTCGTTAACTATTTAGAGGTAGTTATATTAGATAAGATAATATTAAAGAAATTAGCTTATACGATAGCTATAGATTAAGATGAATTCTTTAATACTATATCGCGTATATCGTTACGTTATCGTAGACCGTAATATTATTACGCGCTATTATATTATCGTAGTCGTTATAAATAAAATAGCGATATTAAAGAGGGTAATAATTAATAGAATTTATAAGAATCGCGTAGATTAGAAATAAGCTCTCTCATAATATTAAGAAAATTTAAAGATACATATAATTAATCTCTCTCGCTTCTTAGTTATCGTAAGAGATAGATATTATATTAAAGCTACGATTATATTATAGTAGTTATATATTTAAGCGTACTATATAGCTCTTATTAGCTACTATAAAAAGTTAATCTCTAGAATAAACGCTTTAGATATTTAAAGCTCTTAGATAGCGATAGAGATTATAAATTAGAATTATCGCTAAATCTTAATTAAGCTAGATAATAGAGA